CCCCCCCCCCCCCCCCAGGGTTTACCACCCAGGAGGTTATGTTTTCATCTGAGTGTGTATGTGTGTCTTGGTCTGCTAGCAGGGTAACTAAAAATATCAAACATATTAATTATTAGTAATAACATTTTGGGGGCTAATGGCAATAGGCCAAGGACAAATCGATTGAATTTTGGCCCAATTTTAATTAAAACTTGGATGAGAAATTCACAAGTTTGTTTTGCTTTCCTGCATAACAGTTCATGCTTGAGGTCATGCTTATCTTGATATACCTTGATATAGCAGTTACATTGCAAAAATTTTTAATTCGGCCCTTAGCCATGACTGGCGTCGGCCTTTGTGTTAGGGTTGGGATCAGGGTTAGGATTAAGTTTTAGGAATAGGGATGAGAAATCTCTTTATTTTAATGGAGAGTGTTGATAAGCAAAATGCCCACATACTTAAACCAGTTTTATCTACAGATTGGTGATGCACAGTTGGCCGACGTTGTTGAGGAAATTACTATGTTGGAGATAACCTCGTACGATGGAACATACTTTTGGGCGATTGAAAATTATGAAAGACGACTTCAAGATGCTGTTGCTGGAAGAAGTTTGTTTATCAACAGTCCACCTTTCTACATGTGTCAATTTGGATACAAGGTTACATTTATTTAATAATTCAATCATATTAAAAGTCGAAAAAGTCTAATAGGAACATCATAGGGACAACCAAAATGTCCATATTATAGGTGTGCCTGTATATCAGAGAGATGTCTGTATTAGAGAGCAAGAGGGGCATCCATGTTAGAGAGATGTTCATATTAAAGAGATAATCTTGAACGGATTGTGCCAGTTTTGATATTTCTGTATTAGTCAAAGAATGTTTCAAATGTCAAAGAATGTTTCTTCAGCAAAATTTGACAAAAAGATTTAAAAATATCCTTATAAATCTGAATCCCACGGAAATAGAATTATAGGGGACAAATGTATAACAGTATAATTCGTTGTTCAGGTACGTGCCCGTGTGTACTTGAATGGTGATGGTATGGGTAAGGGCACGCACTTGTCTTTGTTCTTCGTTGTGATGCGTGGTGCCTATGATGCCTTGCTACCCTGGCCATTTCAACAGAAAGTTTCATTCAAGTTGATCAATCAAACTGGAGGTCAGCATGTAATTGATAGCTTTCGCCCAGATCCAAACAGCTCAAGTTTCCAAAGGCCTACAAGCAATATGAATATTGCAAGTGGATGTCCATTGTTTGTGCCCAAATCCATGGTACACAGTCGTGGGCATATTAAAGATGGAACGGTATTCATCAAAATTGCCGTTGAGACCAACGGACTGCCAATTTATTAGCTTGATGAGCCTGAGGTTAACTTAAATTCTGGTGTATAGTAACAATATGATTTTCATGCGGTATTAGTATGGAGGTAATAGTATGGTTTTTAGTGCAATTTGGAAAAAACATTGCATGAGTGAGTTTTTCAAAGACTATCAAAATTGTATGAGTCCGACTAGGACGAGTGCAATTTGAAGTGTTTGACAAACTCACGAGTGTATGTTTTTCAAATTGCACAAGAAACCATACTACTACTTATTTTAATAATATACAGTACATGAAAAAATTATACAGTCACGTGCGTAAGTCACATGCAAATAATTGATTCATTCATTTGAATGTTTTTTTTTTGTTTTTTTTTATTATTTCTGCTGGAAATTGCTGTATCTTATTGGCTACAGTGTATCTTGTTATATTTTCATATTTTAAGCCAATCAGAAAGCCTAAATAGTCAATGAAATTTTCACTGTATTTCTTTTTTTGCATTGCACTGTATTTCATTTTTTGGCACTGTATTTCGAAAAAATTTCCACTGGTCTTAGCCAATCAGAATTGAGAAATTTTTTTATGTATATTATTAACTTGAGTTATCGATGTTTTAAGGATAGGGAATAATCGCGAACGAATGGCTCTGGTATCGAATTAATCTCGAAGACGAAGTCTCGGTATAGGCTATAGCGACGATAACGAGACGGCTGCGGCGCATTGCTCTGTACAACCACCTGAAAAACACAAGCAGAGCTTCAACGTTTCGAGCGTCGGAAAGTTAGTAACTTAACGTAACTTTCTGAAGAAGGGCCTCGAAACCTCCAAGTTCTGCTTGTATTTTTAAGGTAGTTGTATCTCTCAATGCGCAGTTCTCTCTAGTATTGAGTCTCAGTATAATATATACAGCTATTTCAATTAAGGTTGTCGTCCCCCGAGCAAAGCGAAAAAGTCCGATATACGAGCGTTCGACTTTTCCGCTTTGCTCGGGAAACAACCTTAATTGAAATAGCTGTATATGCCATTTTATACTGTTTTTGACTAACTTTCTAAACGTCAAATTGGAGCATTGATATCTTGCTTAATATTGCATGGACATTCACGTGTACAGGGCTCGAAATAGAAAAAATATATGACCTGCCAAATAATTTTTTTTGGCAGGTCAAATAAATTATGGTCTGCCATATATATTTCTATTGTTGAACTGCCAAAACGGTCTCACTTAGGTATGAACATAAAGATTAAATGATCATTTTCTTCGTGTATATCAATCATTTGTATCTGTTGTTTTATTTAACTATTAAGGACCTTAAGATTGATGTTACGGCTAACCGAAAATGTCAAACTTCACATCGATCGATTGTGTTCTCAACCATTGGACGCCATTTTGTTTTTGTAGAATTTCGCCTGCCATTTTATTTTTGACTTGGAGCTGAAATGGCAGGCAGCTAGTTCGAGCTCTGCATGTTATATACCCAGGCCCAGATTTAAGTTAACCTATCCTGAATGTATTAAATTTTAGCTGGTCTATATATTATACTGTGTATCATGTATCATGCAGGAATTAATTACGCATATATATAATATATTATATATAATATATTATACTGTGTATCCATAGATATCTCATATGAGATATCTATGTGTGTATCCCTATATCTATTCTGTGCTGTGTATCATGCAGGAATTAATTTTGGACACCCAGTTCCAGTGCTTCCACTTTGGCAAAGCAAAAATTCTCGTTTTTGTCCTTTTTTTTCGCAAAATTTCCTTCCCAAAATCCTAAATTTCCTTCTATTTTTCCTTCCAATCTCAGTTTAAAATAGTATAGTAAATTTTGTATTGTACTTTATTCCGATGTAAGTTGAAGGTGTACTGCAGTATTCAAATAGTGAATCTCTAATTTAACCTGAAAAAACATGTTCTATTGTCTCATTTTTTGTCTGTTTTCTCGAACGACAGTACTTAAACGACTTTTTTATGAATTTGCTTTTGGACCAGGCACTTGTCCTGCACGCTTTCTACTCCGTTTGCATTTGAAAACTACTTGAAGCTTCATCTTTTGATGAGCCTGACTAGATGTTCAATGACTAAATATGAGCCGGCGTCATAATTTATAAATTAATTACTTTTTTTGGTTTAGAAATTACAGTTTCCCTTTTTTCAACTGTTTGTTTTTTGGGTTATAAAAATTAAAGACGAAGA